AGAAGTGTTTTTACAAAGTATAGGAAAGGTTTGTAAGAGTGTGGGAAGGGTTTACAAAGCCTTAAAATACATATAAACACTAAATAACTATAATGTCACTATTTGGCTGGTTTTCACTAACCACGGGGGTGGGGTGACTGGATCATAACCCGCGCCCTGCCTGCGTAGAATATAAAGGAAGGGAGGAGAGTGGTCTTCTGCTGTGCTCTGCTTGCTCTTGTTGCTTTTGCTGTTTCCAACACGCGCTGTCACCTTCTACCATGTGCCTCTCTGCCTTGGAGAGAGCTGATGGACTGAAATCTCCACAGACTGTGAGCAAAATAAGCCTTTTCCTTCCTTAATTTTGGGCTTTAGGTGTTTTGTCTCAGCGATGTGAGAAAAGGAACCACAACAGAGGTATTCTGTATTTGTTGGCTGTGGTATAGAACAGTAACCTGGAGACAAACGCAGTTTCTGCATCAAGTGTTAAGTGGTGTTACGTATATGTGGCATCATTGTGAATCTGATTTTTCTTGGGTTGCTCTGATAAATACTACATGATATATACAAAATTAGTGTGGGACAGGAAATTAGGGTGAGTGATTGTGTCTAATCTGATTTCAAGTTTTGAGACGTTGTGGAGTGTACAAGACATGTACGTGCTCAATTAATAATTCATTTTGATTATTTAAAAATGAAATAAAATATTTCTTTAAAAGAAAATAAAAATTTCAACAAAAACCCTGCTTCTGTACATTTATCATTAGTAGACATTATGTCCTAAGACACAGGTCATCTTTGTTTTTGCAGGTCTGACTCATTATACTGACATGGTCAAAGCGATCCCATTTTGTTTTTAACCTTCATCTTAACAGTTCCTTAAACTTTAGATGAGCAAACATTCATTCCTTCCTCTAGCTAAACATTAAAGCCCATAAAAGGAGGAATCAGTCATTATCTGGAAAAACAGAGAGATAAAACTGGGCAAGCTAAGATTGACCAATTCTCGCCTGATAACAAGCACTGGGAGAATGTAAATCTTGTGACTGAAAGGGCCCTAAAACCTGGAATTTCTTATAAATTTCCAAAAACAAAAAAAAAAAGTGCTTGATATGGTAAGGAAATTGGTTAATGTTTAAACGCCCCTGAGAACAAAGCCCAGAGTCAGTTCTTTGACTTATTTAGCTTGCTGATCACTGTCCTGCCAGCTAAATAAAACTTGCTTGTATCTGAATTCTGTGAGTGTTTCTCACATTATCCATAACATCAGTAATTCTTGGGGGCTGGATACAAACACTAATGCCATCGTCTGAGCCTTTGAGCATTTAGATAAAGCAACTTCCTTCCTTCCACAAGGCTTTGTTTGGTGAATAGGTCAGGTAGAAGATTCATGGCTGATGTAAGGAAGTCCCTAACCTCTCATTCAGGTTTATAATTAATGCCTGGGCTTTCCTGTTTCTCAATAAATGTTATTCACTTTAGCTCATAGTAGGGAAGATGAGAACATCTTCGTTTTTTTACAATTTGAAGTCAGTTTCAGATTACCGAAATTTAAAAAAAAAACAAAAAACAATTACCTTTCACATCTCAGAATTCACACAGCAAATTACAGAAGTCAACAATGTCAACTTTGTCAATTGGATGGAAAAACATTTTTAGATATAAATTAAGTATTAAGAATTGAATCAGGGGTTGGGGAGTTAGCTCAGTTGAATAAGTGCTTGCTTGGCAAGTTCAAGGTCCTGAGTTTGATCCTTGATACCGCAAAGAAAAAAAAAAAAAAAAAAGAGTTGAATCAGCAATGAAGGAAAGCCTAGGGAAGGCCAGGAATGAGCTTGATAAAGCTTGACCAGATCATTTCTAGAGATCATCACTGTTCTGATGAGTATGCTGTGATGGATTTACTGACTTGTTTTTAGGAGAGCTCCAAGTTTAAACTTTCTTTCATGTAGCTGAAAATTCCTTGATGTTCTGGTACATGAATTTCAGTTGCTTTGTCCTCCTCCTGAAACTTGAGCTTACTCTTTTCCACTCAGGTGAAATGCCCAAATATATGTGAATTCTAATTCTATGAAATGTATGCTAAACATTTTCTACAGCCTGCAATGAATGTTCTGAATCTCCCCTGTTCAACATCTTCAAGTTTTTTATGGTCTTTTTTTGTCTGTTAATTTTTAAGTAATTAAATTTCCTGTTCATAAATATTTTGGCTGTCTGCCTGTCTTCACTTTTCTGTTATTGTGGAAAAAAATCTGATGTAGACACTTTTGTTGAGGTCTTTGTATAAATGTCTTCTTTTCTGTTAATACCTGTGTTCCCTGTGCCCAAAATATTTCAGGTATGTTTTACTTCTTTTGGCAGAATCTTTAACTTAGAGGAGTTCATAGAAGAAAGTAGAAACTGCATTCTGAAGAAAGAGAAAGACTGAGAAATAAAAAATGATGAAAGGAAATTTAAAACTCATGGAGAAACAGAAAGGTAGACAAAGGTCCACAGCAGTCAATAAGCATAAGTTTTGGCACTTGATGATTGTGGTGGTGGGAGACCCAACTTCAAGCACCGGACAAACCATACTCGACAAGACTCTCCCATGATAAATAACAGATTGACAGCCCAGTTGCCTGAGAAACCATGGTTATTACATACTTCATGTTTGGATTGAGAATTTTGTCTGAAAGTAGCTCTTCTTACATGGGAGATAGCTTTGGAGAAGAAATCTACTGTAGCACTTCACATATTGTAGTGGTACACCCAGGAGCCATCTTCAAGTTTTTCATGCATAAGCCTGGATGGAATACATCAGATCACAGTTTTATAATGAAAATAAATACTTTTGCATTATGTTAGCTGTGTATGCATCATAGTAGTTGTGTGTAAGTAATATAGGATGTGATTTCTCTGTGTGATGAGTGGGCTTATTATTTGAAACTGAAGTAGTACGGAGGTCTGAAGTCACAAAACAATAAAACCTGAGGGTTTCCAAGGAAATCCTGCCATGGAAACTGAATGGGTGACTGTCATGAAATTTGATGGAGACCATGAAATTGTTTTCCTGATTTCTTTTTCAAATAGTTCATTTTTAGTGTAGACAAAAACTATTGATTTGTAGTGGTGATTTTATATCTCTTTACTTTGTAGAATATGTTTAACAACTTTAAAAATCTTTTGTTGAGTCTTTAGGGTCAATATAATACCATATCACTTGCAAACAGGAATACATGTATGTCTTTAATTATTTGTATCTCTAATATTTCCTTTTCTTGCCTAATTGCTTCAGTAAAATTTTTAATAACCATAGTTGTTAATAAAGAAAAGAGTGGACATCCTTACATTTTCCTTGATTTTAGAGAAAATGCTTTTGGTTTTTGTCTAGTTAATGTAAATATTGGCTGTAGGTTCATTGTATATGGCTTTTAATATGTTAGGGAATAATCTTTTAGCACTTTTGATCTGATGTGCTATTTAACTCTGATAGTCTTATCCTGATTTTTTTCTGAATGATTCCCCTTTTTGTGAGTGTAGAAGTCAACTACTGTTGTTGAATCAAGGCCTATGTATTCCTTTAGCTTATTATTATTATTATTATTATTACTAGTATTATTTCATAAATTCATTAGGTTCATTAGTGTTTGGCAGATGTCTACTTATACTTGTTACATTTTGTTGTTGGGTATATAGTGTCATTGTTTGCATTGCATGCCTAAAATTTGCTTCATGTCTGCTTTGTCAGATATGAATACTACAGTTTTGACTTTCTTTCAGGTGCCCTTTGCATACAATGTTGTTTTCCATCCTTTCACTTTCAGCTTGTGTGTATCTGCTACTTGTGTGTGATTTTTCAAGCAACAGAGAGCTCAGACTTGATTTTTAAATCCCATATAACAGACTGGGTCTTTTTTTTTTTTTTTTTTTGGAACTCAGGCCCTTGTGCTTGCCAGCGAAGTGCTTATTCTACTGAGCCATCTCTCCAGCCCCAAGGCTGGGTCTTTTAACTGGAGAATTAAGGTCATTTACATGAAGTTATTATAGAAAAGATTATGATAATTACTGCCATGTTTGAAACAGTTGATTCCATTCAGGTGAAATGTCAAGATTAATACCTGAACATATGCAGGTGTGTTGTGTTTTCAGGTTTACGTACCTGACTGTTCCTGCGTGAATGCTAAGTCCTAGCTTGTCTGTCACACTAGCTAGGACCAGGGGCTGGCACATTGTCTGTCTCAGGAAAGTGTCCAGTCCAGAAGCTCTTAATATTGGTTTGTGTCCTGAGTGTGCAGCCACTGCTTTCACCAACTAGCTGTGTGGTCTGAGGATTGTGGGGTGGACCACTGTGTCCTGAGGTCCCTTTGTGTGTATACCAGTGATGTAACGAAAGTTAGTGCAGATGCATGTCCCTCATAACTAAGGAAATTGAAGAATACAATCAACCAGTGAGTCCTGGGATTAGTAGAAATGAAAGTAAAGCCTTGTATTTTAATATAAATCATGCCTATTATTAAGAGTGCAAGTTGAAAAATTATCTGACACTGCAATAGTGCTATTCTACCCACAAGATAAAAATATTAGGACTGTCTTTAATGAGAGCTCTAAGTGGAAACTTTCATCATTTAACAGTTCCCTCAGGGCCAGGGAGACAGCTCAGTGGAATAAGTGCATGCCTGGCAAGTGCGGGGTCCTGAGTTCAATCTCTGGTACCACAAAAAACAAAGACAGTACCCTCTGACTCTGTAAGGTTTTAATCAGTATTTTCACGTTATGCAATTGAATGGGTTAAAGCAAAACAAATCAAAACATTAAAAAGCAAACACCCTCAGAAATGAAACGATGAAATAAACAATATTTCTATAATTATGTTAAAGTTAATCTGTGTTTTAACATGCTTTTACCTTTTTAATTGATTGGTATTTTCTTAGATTTGAAAGAAGAAGAAAAACCATACAAGGTCATTGATTGGGTTCTACCTGAAAAAAATAGAAATGAAATTCTCAAGCATATTCATTCCTTGGTAGAAGTATTGGATGGCAGGTAATTTGTTTTTACTTTTTCAAGCATGTAGTCATTGTTTTAGTCATAAAAACAAGGATGGATGTATGAACTAAGAGGGAGTTTAAGAGAAATGAAGGAATGGACAATTCTACAGGTGACTGCATAAATCAAAGGATGAGGGGGACAGAAGCTAAGCAGATAGTTTGATAAATAGAATAGAAGAGCACCTCATTCCCAGTCACTGTTCTGTATTCCCTTTCTTCTACTGTAGCTATCAAAACAATTGAGAAGAAAGAGTAGCTGCTTTTTGAATATCTTCAGTGCAGCATTTCATCTATAATTTTCAAATGTTATCTCCTAACCAAAAACCCAAAGTAGAAATCTGAACAGTTCATCACAGAGAAATAAGAACCAACTTTTCCCATTTATTTGGTATCCTTCTACCTAAATTTGCTAATTGGGGAGTTCTTATATACATTTTTATCTTATGCTTTCAGAGTTTATCTATTAGATGCCCTCTAAAATATTGAGTAGTCTGATGATATGTAATAAGAGATAATTTGAGTTTTTGCTATTATTAAAATGCATAGTATCTCCTACAGGTAAAGGAGAAGAGATAGAGATTTGTGCCTGATTTAGCTAAGAACAATGGCCTGAACATGTTTGCTATGCTTAAAAATTCCCTGGAACCTCAAAGATGATGTTTAAATTGTTCCTCTCAAAGTCTTTCTTACTTTTCTCAGTTGGAAGACTGCATCTTCTTCCTTGTAGGACTGATACAGAACACTTATACATTATCTTGTGTTGCTAGTTATATGTATTTAAAGTCTATATTCTCTTCATCCCCAGCTTGAGATCAAGAGCTCAAGAATTCAGTCATGAAGACTGATTCAAAATGGTTGTTGAATGTACTTTGAATTACTGAGATCAGTATTCTGAAAATTTTTACCACTTATGCACTACAAGAAAGAATTCTGTGCTAGTTACTCTGGAAAATACTGTTTATATTGAATATGTTCACAAAATTTTGCTAAAATCTTTTTTTAAAGAATAAAAAATGGAAAAAACCCCAGAAATGATACCAAATTTCATTAAACTAAGTAATAGAAATTCAACAATGGTTGCCATATTGTATAACGTTATCTTCAAATTAGTTGTTTAGTTTACAAGATTTAAATCTGCAAAATTGGTTTAGGAAAGTTGTAAGAAATTAAAAAGAAAAAAACCCCAGAAAAAACCCATTAACTGCTCCTTTCAATAGACCAGCAGAAACCAGCAGTACAATTATCCAAACTATCCTGCATATATGCATAAATATATCTTTTTCTTTTCTATGTCTTCTCCTTTTCCTCCTCCCAGCTTTTCCTTCCCATTGAACAGTCTTTCCCTTTTCTGGTATCTCCTATATCTTTCATTTTTTTTACTCTTTCAGGTTCTAGTATTAGCAAGAGAATAAGATGTTTGCACACACATGTCTGATTTATTTCACACACCAACACAGTCTCCAGTTGCACCCATTTACCTACAAAAGCCTCTAATTTATCTTTTTTGTATATATGTAATACTGCATTGTATAAAAAGACCACATCTTTTTTATCCATTCCTCAGTTGATGGGCATTTGTGTTTTTTCCAAGATTGAGCTGTGACAGGTTGTGCTGCTATAAGCATGGGTTCACGTGCATTCCTGTGGTGTGATGTTCTCAGTTCTTTTGGAAAAATACTTAGGAGGGGAATAGCTGGCTTGAATGGAACCTCCAATCCTATCTTTTTGAAGAATCTCTTTACTGATTTTCATAATGGCTGTACCAGTCTGCACTACTACTAATAGTGGAGATGATAGACATTATTTCTGTCATATGATGGCATCTCAGCATTGTTTCAACTTGAATGTCTTGAATCTTGAATGACCAATGATGTTGAACATTTTTTCATATGTTTGTTTGCCATTTGTATCTCTTCATATGTGAGATGTCTATTCATCTCAGAAGCCCATTTTTGTATTGGGTCTTTGAATTTTAGAGGTCTGATATTTTTTAATTTTTTGTATGTTCTGGAGAGAAGGCCTTCATCAGAGGGATAGTTAGCTATAATTTTCTTTTTTCCAATTTGTGGATTTTCTTTTTACTCGGGTGGTGATTTCTTCTGATGCACAGAAACTTTTCAAAAAGATGAGATCCCGACTGTTGACTCCTTGAAGAATACCTATGAAGTTGGTTTTTGTTCTTAACCTCTCTACCTACCTCTATATCTTTAAGATTTCTACCTACTTTCTCCTCCAGAAGATTTAGCATTTCAGTTTTAATATTTAAATCTTTGATCCATTTTGATTGCAGTTTTGTGGATTGTGGTAGGAATGGGTCTAATTTTAGCCTTTGGCATGAAGAAAGCCAGTTTTTCCACAACCATTTATGAAAGAGGCCATCTTTCTTTCAGTGAATGTGTTTGGCTCCTTTGTCATAGAAAAGGGAGCTGAGTGTGTTTGTAGCTGTGTCTCCATCTTCTGTCAGTGCCTTTAATCCTTGGGTCTATTCTTTTTTTTTGCCAGTATTATTCTGATTTTATCACAGTAGCTTTGAAGAATAATTTCAAGTCAGGGATTGTGGTACTTCCTACTTTGCCCTTGTTGCCCAGGATTACTTTAGCTATTTGTAGGTCTTTTCTAGCTATATATTAATTTTAGGAATATTTTCTCTAGATCTGTGAAGTATGCTAATGGTATTTTAATAGAGATTGCATTGAATCTGTATAACAATTTTGGTAGTACAGCTATTTCACAATGTTGATTCTTCCTATTCAGGATTAAGGAACATCTCTCCATTTTCTGAAATCCTCTTCAATCTCCTTTTTCAGAGTACTATAATTTTATGTATAACCCTTTTACTTCCTTTGTTGGATTGATTCCAAGGTATTTCACTTTTTTGGGTGTTATTATCAAAGGCATATTTTCTCTTTCAGTGTGTTTGCTGTTTGTGTATAGAAATGCTATTGATTTTTGAGTTTGACTTTGGATTTTGCTATGCTTCTGAATTTGTTTATTAAATGTACAAGTCTCTTGGTGGAGTTTTTGGTGTCTTTGATATTGATAGTTTTATGTCTTCTTTTCTAATAGTGATTCCTTTTATTTCTCTCTCTTCTCTAGTTGCTCTAGCTAATGTTTCCAGAACTATATTGAACAGAAGTGGTGACAGTGGGCATCTTTGTCTTGTTCCTCATTTTAAAGTATATGATTTCAAATTTGCCCACTTAGTATGATGTTAGCTATTGGTTTGTCATAGATGGTTTTTATCCAGTTGATGTAAAGACTATCTATTTTGAGGTTCTGTAGTTTTTTTTTTGTTGGGGGGGGTTTGGATTCTGCTTTTAAGTTTGGAATATTCTTATTCCATTATTCAATATCTTTAAAGCACCTTCCTTTTTTTTAGGGCATTTGCTTTAGTACATATTATATCTTTTGTAGTTATCCCATGCTTCTTGGCTACTCTGCTCCTCCTCTTTGCCTTTCTTTTTTATTATTATTATTTTATTATTATTATTTTTTTTGGTGGAACCGGGGATCGAACTCAGGCCCCTGAGCTTGCCAGGGAAGCACTTATTCCACTGAGCCATCTCCCCGGCAGTTTTTTTTTTTTTTTAATACCATGAAAGATTGTTCAACTTGGAAAAGCTTTTTCTTTTCTCCTCCTCCTCCTTCTTCTTTTTGTTCTGGGAATTGATATCTAAAGCTTTTTCTACATCTATTGAGATGATCATGAGTGTTGATCAACACCTTGTATGAGGCTCTGTTGATGTGGTGTATTCCATTTATAAGTTTCTGTATAGTAAGCAGTCCCTGCGTTGCGGGGATGAGTCCCTCTCAGTTGTGATGTATAATCCTCTTGATGATTTGCTACATTCTGTTTGCTAGTATTTTCTTGAGGATTTTTGCATTTATGCTCATTAGGGAGATTGGCCTGTAGTTCTCTTTTTTTCATTGGATCTTTCTCTGGTTTTGGTATCAGATTAATACTTGCTTCCAGGAATGAGTTTTGAAGAATTGCTTCCCTTTCAATGTCACTGAAGAACTTAAGGAGAGTGGGCATTAATTCTTGTTTAAATTCCTTGTAGAATTCTACTGTGAATTCATCAGGTCCTGGGCTTTTCTTTGTTGGCAGTATTTTTTAAATTACATTTTCAATTTCATTGGCTGATATAGGGTTAGTCAGAATATTTATTTTGTTATTGTTAATTTATTATATTATATTTCTGATATAGGGTTTTGCTGTGCAGTTTGGACTCATGGTGATCACCCCCTCTCAGCCTCCCCAGTGCTGGGAGTACAGGCATGCACCATCATGCCTGGTTCTGGGGATGCCATCGGTCACCAGGAATTCTGGGCTTGACATGGCATGTGGTACTGGGGATCGAACTTGGGACTTTGTGCTTGCCAGGCAGGCACTTAGGCCATTGAGATATCTCCCCAGCCCTAAATATAAAAATTTAGAATTTTAGTACTTTCTCTATTCAATTTTGGATATATATATATATATATATATATATATATATATATCCATTTCTTCTGTGTTTCCCATCCTATGAGAGCAAAGATTTTGGAAATAGTTATTGAATTTCTATGGGATCTGTAGCAGTTTCACCCATTTTATTCCCTACTGCATGAATTTAAAGTTTTTCTTTACTTTTTTGGGGGATAAGGTTGGCTAGTGGTTTATCAATTGTATTTATTTATTGAAAAACCAACTCTTTGATTTATTATTTCTTTGGATTGTTTTCTTCATGTCCATAGCATTTATTTCTGCTCTGATCTTTATAATTTCCTGCCTTCTTTGGACTTTGGACTTGACTTGTTCTTTTTCTACAAGCTTGAGTTGCAGCATAAGATTGTTTATTTGGGCTTGTTTTGTTTTCATAATGTGAGAATGTACTGCTATACATTTCCCTCCTAAGACAGTTTTCATTGCATCCTACAAGTTCTAGTAAGTTGTATTTCCATTTTTGTTTGATTGTAAACATTGTTTAATTTTTTCTTTAATTTTGTCTGTGA